GATAACCAACGTTACTAAGCCACGTATCTCCAAAGAATGTCGTGATGGCGTCTCGACCCCGCTCGAGACTAAATCTCTGCTCTACATTCAAAATAACTTTAAAAGTAAATTAAAGAACATAGTGACTTTAAACAATAATAAGGTTTCATAACAGAAAAAGGTAACTAAATCCTCCTCCGTCTCGGCCGTCCTGCTGTTCACACGCCCTCGGGTGATCTTGTGGGGCACTCATCACCGCTATTTCTTCTACCACGGCCGTCCTGCTGTTCACGCGCCCTCGTGTGATATTGAAAATCGATCTATAGAAAAAGTAACATTAGCTCGGCTATTCCTGACCAAATAACTGACCATGGTGGCCAATCTTACTAATACTAGCCATCGGTGCAGTAGATATTTAGTGCAAAAGTGTACTTAGTACAAACAGACACCCTCAAATTCCAATGTACCTAGCACAATGAGTATTGGGTAAATGTTTAGCTTTATATGTTAACAATAAAGAGCGATTCAAATCATATTCATTCGCCCTAACTAGTTTTCTTTGAGACAAATTTCTCAAAACTTAATTTTTAAACTGACTGAAACCCTAAAGACTATACACACAACTTACGTATCATTGAGTACAAGTTACAGAAGTAAGTGTCTCATATGTTAATAAAGTTAAGTCGGTGCCTTTCAAATCAAACGATGCGATACAACCCAATCGATGCCACACAGACAACTCTCGCCATTCAGGCTACATGTGCCACATAGGTTACTTTTGCCACACAGGCAACTCTCGCCACTCAGGCTACATTTGCTACAAAGACTCGTCAACGCCAAATAGGCACCCCAATGTCTAAATACCACCTTCCACCATCGTCGCACAGCAATATCAGAATCATACAGCCTCATCGTGCTACTTCGGCTTGTCAATGTTACATAACTTCGTCAATTCAGTCACCCTAGCTTGTGCTACGTAGGTTCATTAATGTTAAGCTGCTAGATATTATTGGAAATAACTAAAATTATAATAATTAGAACCGTATATAACGGTACATTCTGAGATCACTTGCCTCACATATCTAAACATAATGGAAACGTCTCACCATATAACATTCATATTAGATTAAATAAAACAGTCCACAGATATCCATTTTTTTGCACAGCCCAAGCATCTCTGGATACCGTCTTCTTCTAGGGCATCGTATACATCTGATGTGATCTGGTTTAGCGTAAACTAAACTGGCTAAAGCAAGGCGTCCTCTTTACGCTACATACATATTTTGAACCCTTGAAATGAAGCACCTGAAAATTTATATTATTTAATATTGTGCCACAGTTGTTATTACCATCGGCCCGATCTAATTATGCTTAATCTTTGGACCAAATAAGGACATGTGAAATCGGTATTATATTCAAAAATTTATATTTCAGCCTGCGTATGAGAATGTCTTCGGAGTGTACACAAACATTCGTTTTTCGCTGTATGACCATTAATACAGTCAACTATTTCTCATATTTCTTTTGGAACATCTTTTACCTGATGGACTGCTAGAAAATTTTTTAATTAGTATCAACTGCTAAATAAAAATTTTAGAACCGAAATGAATACGCAAGTTAAAAGAACTATGTATTTTCCCAATATAATGCGCAAATATCGTCCGTTTATTTTCCGTCGATAAATAGTTAAATCTGTTAGTCAAATCTTTAAACAAAAATATCAACTCATTATTTTCACTTTAGAAATCCTGAAATAAAGAAAATATAAAGCAAACAATTACAATACAAAACATTTTTTGACACTCTAAAATTCTGACATGATTTATATTTTATTTCAGAACTAGAAGAAGGTCCTTATAAGCATCGAACAAAAGCATTTCAAAAATAATTCTCGTAATTTATCGATTAAATAAATTAACTTCATATATCATCCTGAAATAAACAAATTTTCCATTTAATTTTTCCATACATATTGTGTTCAAAAATATTTCTGCGATAATATCAAGAAAATCAAATCCAGCTAGCAACAAATCTTTGACGACGTCATGTCATTTCATAAAAATTAAATTGAGACATCTACGATTATTTTAATCTTTTGAGCATCTTGCATATATCATATCATCATGATTCATCATTATCAAAGTAAAAGTAAATCTTCTGTAAAAGAACCCGCATATGCATCGCCATTTTGTGCGTCCTTTTTAACATTTGACATCGCATTTCGTTTCAGTTTGAGAAAATTTTCGCAACAAAATTTTCAAATGGCCGCTGTCATCTATCTTTGCCCTGTTCTTCGGGTATCATACCACTTCTGATGTCGTGTTATCCATATACTACGAACATCATCTTTGGTGGTTACTCATCTTGTGGGCGTTATCAGGGCTCAAATAATAAAGTATTCAGTGCTCAATACACAATTTAATCAGGGAAGTCACAATGTTATAAACTTGAAACGGTAATTCTAATGATTTAGAGCTAGCGGGTTCACAGTCACCGATCATCGACTTCCAACTACAATATCAAACATAACTGATTCACCATGATATGATAACCAACGTTACTAAGCCACGTATCTCCAAAGAATGTCGTGATGGCGTCTCGACCCCGCTCGAGACTAAATCTCTGCTCTACATTCAAAATAACTTTAAAAGTAAATTAAAGAACATAGTGACTTTAAACAATAATAAGGTTTCATAACAGAAAAAGGTAACTAAATCCTCCTCCGTCTTATATATATATATATATATATATATATATATATATATATATATATAATATAAAAGTTTGTCACTTGATTTATATATTTTATAAAAAAAAATATTTCTTAGAATTAGGTACAAGTATATCAAGATAAATGGATTATAAGATAAGTTACTTATTTAATTACCTACTTACATGGTAAATCTTACATAAATCTCGCGAGTCGCGACAAGCTGTTATATCATATAAATTATGTAATATAATAGGTTGAAAGGTTTGATTTAATTTAAAGTTTATTTTCTTGTTTTTAAATAAAAGCCTTTTTTTTAGATATTCTTATTATTTATTTTATTTTTAATTTTTATGACGTAAAAATACATATATGTATAGAGTGCGAAAAACAAAAGAAAAAACCTCTATAGCACTCTCAATCACTCTATCACTGCAAGTCCGAACACGAATACTCCTGTACCCCTTTTTACCCGACTGCGGCGAAAAAAGGTTACGTGTTTGACCTGTATGTATGTATGTATGTTAGACCCTATGTTCCCTCGTAATTACTTTATGCTTTACTTTTACACTCCAGAGTAATGAACGATCAGATATAAATTGTAAATACTAAGAATTAATTTTATCTTAAATTACAGTATATATATATTTTAAATAAATATGTATAATAGTTTTAACTTTATGACGATAATATTATATAATAAAATGTAACTTATTGTACATGTTTCATTTATTAACGTCATTCAATATCGAATCAAATATCAGAAGGTTATCACTATGATATTGCTTTGTTCTTTACCCCCAATATATTTATATTCTAGCGACTCGCTCCGCTCGGGTTCGTCCCTAGTTACATTTTAACGTTTAGTATAAATTTCTCAGAGATGAGATATTTTATTGTTGACCCGGATAACCAGCTATCATCATACCAAATTACATCAAAATTTGTCCAGTGGTTTTCTCGTGATGCGTCCCCAGACAGACAAACACACAGACAGACAGACAGACAGACAAACAAAAATACTAAAAACCATAGGTTCGGCCTATTTCGATAATAATACCGTTTGTTTCCTTAATAAATAAATAAATAAATAATGATCATTTATTTAATCAAGTTACTACTGCTATACAACAATTTAAGTCTAAAACTAAAAATATATTACTGAGCAAACAATACATTAGCTCAATTAGGTTAGCATTGAACAACGAAAAAATTCTAGGCCAAAATTTTATTTCACCAGCCTTTAGAGGAGGTCACTGGAAATGTAAATTTAAAATCGCGACTAAATTCGATAATTAAGAAATTAAACGAGATAATTCAATAACTATAGTTCTCCCGTTCTTCACCCTACATTCAGAAAATATCGATAGCATGAAAAAATGAGATGTAGAGAATTGGATAATGAACAACTTTAGTCCTTATATTCTTTTTCGAATAGTTGAAAATGGCCGAGATATTGCGAATACACGATTCCACTTTAAAGTTGGTCGCGATTTTAAATTTACACTCCCAGTATACCCTAAAGGCTGGTGAAATAAAATTTTGGCCTACATTTTTTCGGGGTTTGGCTTCGTATTTTCTACAACCCGACTGGGCTATATTCCGTCGCGGAATACTTTGCAGATGTATGTATTAATGCTCACGTAGAATAATTAACGTAAATAACATAATTGAAATGAAATGAAAAATGAAAATAGCCTTTATTCTCTGACCAGTAAAAATTTCCTTATGACTAATAAAATTACTTAATATTTTATCGATGGTCAGGTCGTCTTTCGACGTAGGCCTCCTCTAGCTCACCCCACTTAACACGATCTTGGGAATACCTTCTCCACCCCTGTCGAAGGTCGTCTTCCCATCTCATCACCTGTCTTCCTCTGCGCCTCTTTCCGTTCCTTGGATACCACACCGTTATTTCTTTAGTCCATTTGTCTTTCTGGGATCTCATCATGTGTCCTGTCCAGCGCTACTTTAGTCTTTTTATTCTAGTGGTAACATCTGTTACTTTCGTTTTTGCTCTGATTTTTGAGAGCCTCCATTTGTCCTGTAGCTTTATGTTAAGCATACTCCTCTCCATCCTCTGTTGACACACTTTAAGCCTTTGGCTAATAACATAATTATTGTATTGCAATTAGGAAACTATAGGGCGCAATCATTAAAACTCATGTACTGGATCCACACATATGTATTTCGACTTCCAGGATGAATAGTGTTTAAGTATAATAATTAACAAATTATTAAAGGAATCAATGGTCACGAGTTGAGTGAGTGGCGTACATCGGCGGGGCGCGTGTAAAACGTAACGCGGTTACTGTCTCACTGCCGGGGTGGAAGCGCGGGCGCCGTCAGGCGCACGGAAACGCGGGGAGCGTCGCGGGGGACAAGGGCGAATAGGGACGTTAGGTGCGGCGGGTATATTACTACGCGCTATAGCCTCCCCCTCCAAGTCACAAGGACGACCCGGCTGTGACTTGGTTGGTCGGCCACGCCGTCTCTGATGTACAATGGCTTTAGAAGACCCTACATACGGCGTTAAGGCACTGGCATGGTATTTGCCCTTAACATGTCCTTGGCTATCGGACACTACAAAAGACGAAGGACTGGCTATTTGAGATATGCGATAAGGTCCCTCCCGTCTTGGCGCGAACTTACTACTAAACCCCTTTGAAGCGTTGCTAACTAAATGTGCCTCCACCAGCACAAGATCACCCAATTTATAAGATGGAGAACTCCTGCGATGCTTATCATTGTCTACTTTCCTAGCATCCTGCTGATCTTCTATTCGTTGCTTCACGTCCTTCAAGGTTCGTGCAAACTCCTTTAGATATGGTGTAATCTGAGGCACAAAATTTTCTTTAGTGACGATGCCTCTGAGATCAGTGTGTACAGACAAAGGCGAGCGCATCTCTCGCGCAAAAGTGAGATATGCAGCAGACTGGCCGGTGCCCTGATTGTAAGAACTATTAAGAGAAAAGCGAACCATGGGTAAAACAGCTGGCCAGCGTCGATGTTCTGGTCCTACCAGAATCGCTAATTGTTGTTTCAGCTCGCGGTTCTTCCGCTCAACCGGGTTGGCTTCCGGGTGGTAAACTGGTATCAGGGATTGATGGATCCCTAGTACAAACATGACCTTTTGCATCACCGCTGATACGAACTGGGTTCCATTATCGGATATTACTCGACGCGGTAAACCATATCTAAGGAAAACTTCTTCGATGAGCACCTTAGCACATGTTTCTGAGGTGGCATCTTGCAACGCGAATAACTCAATCCACCGACTGGCTGTGTCTTCAACGACTAAAATCCATTTCTCGCCATTAGCGCCCTCTGGCAAAGGGCCAAACAGGTCCATAGCAAGAACTTCGAAACGCTGCTGAGGAACTGGGGTTTGAAGCAAACCTGCAGGCTTTAAATTAGTAGATTTATATTTCTGGCAGAGATCACAGGACTTAAGATATTGTGCAACATATGTCCTCATGTTCTTGAAGTAGTATCTTTCTTTTATTTTACGTAGCGTGCGTTCTAAACCCAAATGTCCAGCAGTAGGCGCATCATGTAGCTCTCTCATGAGCTCGGCCTTCAATGCTTCTGGAATTACCAGCTGGGGTTCTTCGGACTCGCCATCCGGATCACACCGATATAGAATACCTTGCGAAAGATAATAACCTCGATCAGACCAGCGTAAAGCTACGTCAGCGTGATCAGGCTGCTCAAAAGCTAATATAACTTTATTGACGTCAGGATCATTAATCTGAGCTTCACGAATGTCCTCAGGCTTCTGACGTGGTAAATCAACAGCTACCGGGCAAATATCACAAGAGTCGGACTGGAACTCTTCAGAACTAACAGGACGGCTTAACGTATCCGCCACCACATTGATTTTCCCGGGTGCATAATCTATATCCAAATTATATGACTGGATTTTCATAGCCCAGCGGGCTAGTCTTCCACTTGGAGTTTTTAATGTTAACAACCACTTAAGTGGCTGGTGATCAGTGGCTATTTTCACTGGAGATCCCTCGACGTATCCTCTAAACTTCTCCAAAGCCCATACAACCGCCAGAGCTTCGCGCTCTGTCGTATGATAATTGCGTTCTGCAGAGGTTAGCAATCTGCTCGCATATTCTATGGGTCTCTCGTCCTTAATATCTTCACCTTGCATAAGAACAGCCCCTAAGGCATACGCACTAGCGTCAGTTCGGAGGATGAAAGGTTTTTCAAAGTCTGGCTGTCTAAGAATGGGACTGGTGGTAAGTCGTAACTTAAGCTCATCAAAAGCTCGTTGCTCACTCTCCCCCCATTGCCAGCGTCTAGTCTTCTTTGTCAAATCTGTGAGACATCGCGCTACATCCGAAAACTGCGGGATGAACTTGCGGAACCAAGAGCAGGTCTGTAAAAACGTTTTAACTCTCTAACGTTACTCGGAGGCTTCATGCTGTTCACGGCTTCAACCTTCTGCGGGTCGGGCTCAATACCATGTGAAGAAACAACATGCCCCAGATAATTAACCCTGTCTCTAGCAAAAACACACTTACCTCTGTTTGCTTTCAGATTAAACAGACGAAGACGATCAAACACCTGTTGAAGATCACGTAAGTGCTGATCCAAATTTGGCGAGATCACTAAAATGTCATCCAGATAGGCCAATACACAGATGTTATTAAGGCCGGACCGCATCCGATCTATTAGACGTTGGAACGTCGCCGGAGCATTCTTCAAGCCAAAAGGCATGCGGCGAAATTGAAAGGTCCCAAACGGAGTTGTAAAAGCCGTCTTATGGCGATCCTCTGGAGCAACCATAGTCTGCCAATACCCTGCCTTCAAATCTATAGTAGACATTATGCAGTCCGCTTTAGTACTCTGCAGTAATTCGTCGATTACGGGAAGAGGGTACTTATCAGTACGCGTTACATTGTTTAATTTACGGTAATCTACGCAAAATCTCACCTCACCGTTTTTCTTGGGTATTAACACCACGGGCGACGCCCAATCGGACTCCGCATCTTCGATAATGCCATCTTCAAGCATGGTTTCTATTTCTTTACGTATTATTTCCCTTTTGGACGGTGAAACACGGTACGGAGGGCTCGTTACTGGCGCCGCATCCCCTGTATCTATACGGTGCATAGCAAATGAAGTCGGTCCTCCCCCTGGAGTAAAAATGTCTTCATGGACATTCAGGAGATCGGAGAGCCGCTGCCGTTGCCCTAAGCTAAGGTGGGAACCTTCGTCATCGCGAAGACCTACAGAAGAGCAATTGATAGGCGGCAAAGACTTACACTCATATTCAATGGGTTGGGGCGTCTTATCACCTCTCAAAAACCAAATACCGCGCTGAAAATCTAAAACCATGCCAATGTCTTGTATAAAATTCATACCTAATAAACTTTCCGTCGCGTTAGGAAGCATAATAAAATCCACACCTAACGTTATCCCTCTCAAGGTTACGCGGACGTGCGCCACTTCAACGTTTTGTGCACATGCACGACCATCCGCATATTTAAGTTCAGTATAAACAGTATCTAACTTATGTCTATTCTTAATTAACAGGGATCTAAGGCTAACACTTCCTACACAATGTTTTGCACCAGTGTCTACTAAAACTTTACCACTAGCGCCATAAATTCCAATACTAATCACTGGGCGCAAACGCGAATCCATACAGTCTACACTTGCTGCAACCGAATGAAAGTCACTACTGGTTGACACCACGGGTTTATTCCCTTTACATGTGGCGCAATTTGAACGAATCACTCCCGGTGCACCACATCCAAAACAAGTCAACTGGGGTATCGACTCCTTTTTACTTGACTGATTTTTATATGACAACTTCTCACAAGCGTCTTTATTATGTCCAAATCGTTTACAATAGGAACACTTATTTCTATTTATAACCGGTACCTTAACTGGTTCATTAGACTCGGAAGAAGAAGAGGCAGGTGGGATACCCTGTCTCGGACTGTACGCAACATTTGATCTCTGAGTTTGCGACAGATTAGGTCGATTGACTTCGACTCGACTCTCATCCATTAACTCTTCTATCCGTCTAGAATGCGACAATAACTCGGAAAAAGACGTGAAAGAACTTCGTGGTACCTTCTCTCGAATCCGTTTACTAAGAAGACCATATACCATATCCAATTTAACTTCTTCAGTTAAATGCGAAGGAGGCAACTGCGCAAATAAGGCTCTAATATTACAAATAAATATGTCAGTAGGCTCCTGAGTTTGCTCTTTACTAAAAATTTTCCTATAAATTTTATATGGTGGTAATTGAGGACCAAATGTTTGTTTAAGGAGCTCTATTGCCTCATGCCAACTTTGCGTGGTGGGTTTTACACCTTGCCACCACGTTGCGGCAAGATCCGTTAGCAGAATAGGAAGGCCTCGCAAAGCAATATTATCGTCCATATTCACACATTCTTTATATGTTTCTATTGCATCTATAAAAGCGAGTACATCACTGCCTTTTCCGCCATCGAAGCGCGAAGAACAAGAAGCAAAGTTACCTGATATAGCGGTTACCAATGGTGAAGAAGTTGGCGCGCGCAGCAGCAATCCTAATATCTGCGCCAGCTGCTGATCCGACATTACCACTGGGTTACCGGGTACTTGCATGTGTGATGCCGACGACGGTGACTGCGCATACGGCGCAGTGGAGCAGGCCTCGTCCAGGCCAGTAAGCGGAGACGGCGGCGCATCCGACGCCGTTGGCGAGAGAGCCCTGGGCTCTCCAGCATTTTGCTGTGGTGCCTTCTGAGTCTCGTTACTATTCGCTCTCGACCGTGTAAGCACCATATTGATATAATATCAACACGCACTATAAAACTATTTCAGTTCAACAGTCAACTTAAAAAAACGTTTATACCTTGCACTTTATCCTTAACTAAAATACTATAACTATACAATAGTCAGTACTAAACTATACATGTTGAAACTTGTATTACTACACAAAACAAATATTTTTACAACACAATATAATATTCACTATTCAATATACAACAATATTCTAACAGAATAATATTATCAGAATAAGTAGTAAACAACACAACTATAATTATTCAGAACGCTTAGTAGTATTATTATTACTCAATACCTTATTTAAACATTAACAAAATTAAAATCTATATAACAGAGTTATATATGCAATTTAAAGTTTACACAAAATACTTCGATAGCTATTATTAAGTATTAAACAATACGACCAAATAATAATATCATCATTCATAAGTAACAAACAAAACTTATTATTATATAAAACCATAGGTATAGAATACTAAAACTAAATCTATACAACAACGTATAAAATGGTTTACACAAAATAAACAGTAAGTAACAGAAAGTATTATGCAATACGACAACTTATTATTATTAGTTTTACGTAGCAAACAAAACTTATTATTATTACTTAAAACTTTTAGACAATATAATTTTATACTAAAATTAAAATTCTACAACAGTGTAATATGTATTAACATAAGTAGGTACGTAAGTATTAACATAACGATTTACACAAAATACTTCGCAACCTATATATTATTATGCAATATGACAAAATAATAATATCTAACAAACTTATGTAGAAAATAACACGTAACTTATTGTTATTTAAACCATATACACTAATAATGTTAATTTCAGTTCGAATCGCGACACAATTCACAAACACTAAAACATGAGTTAATATTTGAAAACGATTGCATCATCCTATAGGTACGTACGACTTTTCAAATTCGGGCCGAACGTTGGGCTGCCATTTATAGGGCGCAATCATTAAAACTCATGTACTGGATCCACACATATGTATTTCGACTTCCAGGATGAATAGTGTTTAAGTATAATAATTAACAAATTATTAAAGGAATCAATGGTCACGAGTTGAGTGAGTGGCGTACATCGGCGGGGCGCGTGTAAAACGTAACGCGGTTACTGTCTCACTGCCGGGGTGGAAGCGCGGGCGCCGTCAGGCGCACGGAAACGCGGGGAGCGTCGCGGGGGACAAGGGCGAATAGGGACGTTAGGTGCGGCGGGTATATTACTACGCGCTATAAAACTAATATTATTAAAAAAACTGTGGAGTTTCTCGCATGCTCTTCTGAGACGAACTGCCTTCCGCGCCGGAGGTAGATTCACCACGGACTTACATACGGGCATTTAATTTAAAAAGGTAAAATTTACGATTCAAAAGTGGATGTAAAATTCTATTTGAATAAAGAATACAGTATAATATTTTGTTTTGCAGGCCAAGGTAAAAAAAAAGGTATCTTTAAATAAGTAATAATTTAGGATTCCGTTATCTTATTCATTATTTCTGCAGTAAACCTTGCAAGAAAAATAATGTTGCACATGTAAAGACAGCTTCTTCTATCTGACAGCTCCTATCAAGCGCGTAGTATTTCAGTAAAAAAGAGTGTTACTCAGTGATAGAGTTTAGCTTTCAATAGAAGAGAGAATTTTTAAATTCGATACAGTTCCTGAGTTTTTTTTAAAAGAGTTTAAAAGAAAACTCAGGAACTGTATAAGAGATAGAGATAATATAGTATGTCCCTTCATATGGTAAGCCATATGAATTAAACCTTTAATAATTATTTTCTAACTATAAACATACACCAACAAATAAAATCATTGTAATATATTAACCTTGGTTAGATTAATTCTATAAGTGCGTTCACCTTTTCGTTGTGGGGGCCTCATTAACATCCGGTAATCCAACCGGCCGCGAAGCCAAAAAACGCACTGGGTGGCGGCCCACCTCGGTGGGCGGTGTGCTATGCGGGTTGCTCCTGATTCTTCTCTGATAGCAAAGTGGACTTTTGGAGCAACCCCATGACTGTTATAGTCTGCTTTGGTAGACCTGCTGTCGGGGCGTTGTGGTTGAGTGCGTAAATGATCCTGCAAACCCCATTAAGACTGAAGAGGTTTTATTGGGTTTTAGTACTGGCTTTTCTAGGGTAGTACTGGCTTTTCTAGCCGGTAAAACCACCTATTCCATACAGATGGTATGTTTGAATGCGTTTCCCACTATTAAAAAAAAGGTTAGGTTAATTCAAGAAAGAAGCATCAAAATCGGTTGACATTTGGATAAGATTGTGCGTAGCGAACACATAAAAAAATAACTCGAATTGAGTACTTCCGAGTATTTAAATTATTGCTAGGCCAAACTTATTACAGATACTCTTACTTATTAAGAAGAATTTAATTCATTTCAAAATTTTAATGTAAAATATTAATAATTTTGTTACTTTCCTTTTATTCCCAAATACTTTAGCTAGTTTAGAAATAGCTTACACATAAATACATAGACTCAAAAGACCTTTAATAGTTTCCATTAAAAGATAACATAATTCGGAGCTCGAACTTGGCACCGGTAATGTAACGTCTAAATATATAACGATAACATCTTGTTTAAAGCCTGGATATCTTGTGTGTACTTAAAAGAAGGGTGTTAGATACAAAACAAGAAAAAGGAAAGAGTAAAATATCCTTGATTTTTATTTCTGTTGACGATATTGTTTATTTACTTTCGAATATCTTATAGGTGTATGATAATAAAAAGATTTTGTAAAGATGTCTCAACGGTAGTGTTGGATTTCCGACCTTACGATAGTGAAAATGAAATATAGAACTCACTAATGTACATTTACACATGTGTTCTATAATATCTCTTACGCACCTGTCCAGTCTATGAAATCTATCACACCGTGCGGAAAATTCGGTCTGAAGGGCCTCTTCTTTATTATTAATATAATTTTTACAGTTAAAAATGCCCTTTAAAAGGGTTTGGGATTCATCATGCCCTCGCATTTGGGACTCTTGGGAAGATTCGGAAGGATTGAAGTGGGTAATACAAGATTTAGCACCTGAAGACGACGATACTGCATTGCAAATCCTTATTGAAAACCTGGCACCTGATGAAACATTGTGTATGGAAAAGAGTAGGTTTATAAATTAGCTAATAGTAACTGATACCACATAAAATAAGCTTACTGTAAAACATTTTAAATAATAAAAATAGTATATCCGATTTTTTGCAAATTTATTTTGACTTTTGGTTCCCGACGTTCCCCCATGATAATCTCTCCCGTGACTACGATTGTTGTAAAACATTATAAGCATCGGGAACGAAAAATCAAAAATAAATCCGGGAAAAAATCCAAAACGATATTTTTATTTAAAATGTTAAATATTCGCATAAATCTAAGAAAGTATTACACCTTTTTCTTTTACTAGAGCTATGTGAAGATCAAGCAAGCTTAACAAGTATGTCGAAGTTCTGGCAGGCGTGTTTATCCCAGCGGATGAGTCTCGGTTGTTATGTCGAAGTTAATGGGAAAAAGAGCTTAGTTGCCCTAAACGTGTGTATTGCTGATACTGTTGGCGAGAAAATACCATATATTGAGGTAAGCTTTATCGTACTTTAGAACATTCAATATACTGTCTTCTTTTTCTCCCTGCACATTTTCCAAATTACTTCCGCTTCCACTCTCCCCTGTTACTCATCATCTCATCTTTCACCCCTTTTTCTTTCATGTTCTGTATCACAACCTATCCATCTTTTCTTCGGTCTACCTCTTCCTTTCCATACATCTATATTCATTTCCATCACTCCTCTCGTCACATGCGTTTCATCCCTCCTCTTCACATGCCCATACCAACTTAGACGATTTCCTTTCTAATTCAATATACTCTGTCTGTTTGTCTGAATGGTACTGTGATGATGATGTTCTCCTGACCAATTCCGGCCACGGCGGCCAATCTCATTGAGACAAGCCAACTGCGCAGGAGATATTATAGTGCACAAGTGTACGCGCAGACACAAGTGCACTCTCTATTCCTGTCACTCTCATACTCTGGTGGGACGACCATTCGACACGACCAGTGAGAGTTAAGGCACAGGACCGACAGCTTTACGTGCTTTCCGAGGCACGGGGGTGAAACATCGCCAACTTCCCAACTCCGGGCTGTTACTGAGGCTTACGATACAGAAAGACTCAATAACTAAACTTGGCCCGACCCGGGACTCGAATCCA